TGTAAAGTGATTATGGAATAACCATTTACATCGCATTAAGGTTTCGATAATATCTCTTTATAATTCATTACTGTTAAAAAATTATTGATATTTAAGACATTCAGTTTCTAATTTTATTAAGAATTTCTGTTTTCTCGATAATATCTCATTCCCCCTTTTCCTTTTAATAGAATTTTATGAATTTAAATCGAGAATAATATATTTTTTAAAGAATTTTTTCATGTATTTAGTCAGAAAAAATTAATTAATCATTCATCTTATTTAATTATTCGTTCGTTTATTTTTTAAAATATTAATTGATTTTTACTTTATTAAAGTTTCAAAGGTTATATTTATTCAATTGAAGAGTAAAAATTCTAATGGATAAGTTGTAAACAATGAGAAATAATAGCTGAAATTTTTCGTTTTAAATTGTAGAATTTGAAGAGATTAAAGAAAAAGTTAATTAATTAAGGTCTTCAAAGACGAATTTCTAACATTAACGAACCATTAAAATGAGTACAATCGATATATAAGATTATGAACTAGTGATCTAGATGATTAACAGGCATTTAGTTTTTATTTTCTTTTTCTTTAAAATAATTATTTAAGATTAAAACTTTCTAAGTTAAAATAAAGTTTTTGTTAATTAAATTCCCGTTTAGTAACGAAATTAAGAAAATTTTACTAGAATCGTGTGAGTAAACACATTTAAATATTAGCATATAAACAAGTATACTTTATATTTATGCCTAGGGCCTTTTCAGATTTCAAAAGAGGTCCAAGCCTATTTTTATACATAAACAAATAAATTTAAAACTAAGTTGAAGTTTGTTATTTGATAAAAGAAAAAAGTATCACTTATAGGTTACAGCTTAGGACCGCAATGAGCCTAAATCCGATCTTTTCGAGGCCTCAGTATATTCAAATATATATTATTTTTTAGTAAATTTTGTTAATATAAAAATTATGAAATCTTTATTGCTTAATATATAAGAAATATAATAATAGAATGAAGCTCGGTAAATGTGAGGCCCCACTGGCTTTATCATAGAGTGAATCAGAAAAGCTCTATCCATGCTTTCATTCTTTGTTTAAAATGTTCATTTTTAAAAAAAAATTATTCTACTATATAATTCATCTTTTTATTCGTAATTGAAGTCTTATTGTTAAAAATGATTTTTAAAAATTTATTTTAGAAAATCCCTGTTTTATTCTTTGCTAAAAAAAAAAAGAAATAATAGTATTGATATAGCCTTTGATGAAATAACCATTTAGTTCATTGTTGAAGGAAAATCTTCAAATTTTAGTTCATCTCAAGAAGTAATTATCTTCAACAATGAGCTAAAAACGGATTATTTTCTACTATGAATCAAAAAATAATCATTTATTTCAGTTTATCGCCGAAAAAAATTAAATATAATTGATCATTATTCGTCACTTATAATATTTCTTTACAGTTTTTCTACAGCTGAATTTTAAATTGGTCATTCTATACAGTTAAAAAAAATATATACAAAAATTCAGAAGTAAGAGTACAAAAACAAAAAAAAAATTTAAGGATTTTTATAACCGTAAATTGAGCTTATCTGAGCAATATGATAATAAAATACAGTAACTACTTGAAAGAAATCAAGAAATTCAACTTTCTTTTCCATGATCAATTTTAAGTATAAGAAGGAAAAAATAAAAAAAAAAAAAACAGGAAGAATATATTTCATAAATCTTCTCGGTATATAAGCTGCACTGCAATATTCTTAGTAATAAATCAGGGTCCATAAAGCGTGCGTGCAGCAAAGTCACCACCCATAGTCTCTATCTTCTAGGTCCTTCACCGATCATTTCCAAGCTCTATGGAAGGTCACTTCACTTCTATTTTTTCCTTTAACGGAATTCTCTTTCACTTCAATTCTCTTTTAATTTTTTTTTTCTATACTAGAACGGGCGAAATAAGATTTAATTTATTTTAAATTCTTAGTGATGAGGAGAAATACTTAGACAAAAAAAAAGTATGAAGTATGTGTGCGTATATATATATATATATATACACACATATTATTGCTGCATATTTAAATTTGTATTTATGAGGAGGAAAGAATAAGCGCAATTTAATACAGAGTTTTATTATTGTATATATAAAATAATAATAATAGTTAGAATATTTCATTTTTTCCTTGATAATATAGATATTATATATAAATATATGTACATAAAGAATTGTGTGTGTGTGTGTGTGTGTATATATATATATATATACGATTTTGTAGAGCAGTGACAGATGAAAATAATACGATTCAATAAAGCAGAGAAAATCCGGAGAAAATTTTTTTCCTTTCTTGATTAACTTGGGGATTTAGGAAATGAAAAGAAAACAAACGTATGTTTATAATTCATGAATCCTTTATCGTTTTTTCCCTTCCATCCTCCTATTCAACTATTTTTTTTATTATTTTTTTGGAAGGGGACCAAAATAAACTTATTCATCAATCCCAGTGTTGTAGATTCTCATCAAATGGGTTTACTTTCGCTGGTGGATCGACTATAAAGACCGACCCTGTCTTTCGAGATTTGAATATGGTAATGATGGTTATTGATGCAAATAATCTGCATCGACTTCTTTCTCTTTGATTAAACAACCGAATGTTTTGCAGTTTTTGAACTCTATTGATAGATTTTGTAAATGTAAATTTAACTTTTAAACTAATTTAATTTTAAGTTAGAAAACAACCGCTGCGGTTTTTAACCTGTTAATGCTTCTGTTGTTAACATTCACCCCTTCCAAAAAAAAAATGTGGTCTTGTAATTCATAGAATATGAAAATTTGAAGAATGATTTAAACCGGTAATATATATACATTTTCGGAATACTTCCTGGTTGTATGATCATTAAACAAGCAGAAAATTAAAATCCATGAATTAGTGTATTCAACATGCGAGACTGATTGAGGTCAACAGAAACGACGTACAATTATATGAACTCGAGACTGTTTTGACCCCAAATACATTACATAAGATGAAATTCTTGTATTTAATCATTAATAATGATAAATTGGTTTAGAGAAAATATGAATGATTGATTCCATTACTTTAATTAAGTAAATAAAAACGAATATATTAATGATATGTATACTTATATATAAATGGAATCACGTGTGACTACATAATCGAATTTTGCTTTCACTCTATGCATTTGCACAGTCACCTAATCTTCTTGAAACCTACCTTATCGATCTTCAGATCACTCGAAAGGAAGAGAGAAACCAGACTGGAAAATATAAAAGTATTTGATAGAATTAAATGTTTGTTCTTCTAATCCTAACAATTCTTTTTAGTTTAGTTCCATCTAAAAATATTATATTGACGAGAAAACTTTTAATGTGTTGAAAATTTAATTTATTGATATAAATGATTTCTTCTTCTTTTTATAATAAAAAGCAATATTTCATTATTTCTTTTTTTGGAGTTAATGTTAAAATATTTCATTGANTATAACATCAAAATTTTTAAGTATTATTTAAATAAAATATTTAATGTGCAAAATCACGATAATTGTTGTAAATACGTGCATGAAATTGTCATTTTTCATATAAAAAATATGTTAATTTCATACAAGTGCTTATAAAATATTATTCACTATTTTGCAAACACATGTGTAACATTTTTTACACAAAAAAGAAAAAGGTTAATTTCATATAAAAATGTCATATACAAGAACTTGACTATTAATTGCAAGACAGTGTGAACACGTGTATGAAATTAACATTTTTATATACACAGTATTAAAAAATGTCTATTTCGTACACGTGTTCACGACGTTTTACAAATAATAATCAGGTTCTTGCATGTAACATTGTTTTTTTTCCATATAAAAAATGGTACTTACACGCAAGTGCTTCACCATTATTTGTCAAATATTATATATGTTATATATATATAAATAATTTTTTGCAAATATATATATTATTTATGCCCTATAAAGATATATGAAATTGTTAATTTTACTATAAAATTAATATTTTGATAATTATTTATAAACATCAGAATATATTTTGCTCAACATGAAACACTTTTGATAAAATTCAGTTTAGTAAACCAAACTTAAATGAATCATTAATGTTATATTATGAATAATGTTTGGAATGTCACACAACTGTAAATCACTTGCATCCATTATTCTATATTAGTTCATTTTAGATCAAGGATTTAATTACATTAACCATTAATATAATTATATATTACTGTAATAAAATTTTGTTCTGTTTTCCTAAATGACTATACAATGCGCATAATATTAACATGAAGTTAATATAAAAGTCATCTTCATGTATATTAAATTACATTCCGTTTTAATGAAGTTCTTAAAATTATTCAAAAAAAAAATTATATAAAATATTTTTATTGTAAGTAAATAAATATATTTAATCATCTCTTAAAATTCACTTTATAAATATTTCTCTTATAAATAAACAATTGCAATCCTTTTAAGAAAGTATAAAAACAAAGAGCCAGACAGACAGACAAACAAATAAACAAACGGCACGAATAACTTATAACAAGTTTATAACAATTATTTACGAAGAAATTCGCCAGAAAAACCTCTAGAAATATCCAACTAAGCCGGTTTTAACAGAGTTATAGAAAAATCTATAGACGTGATTACTTCAATATATTTTTGTATATCCTCTACTACAACTTAAAAAAGTAGATTTAAAGAGAAAAAAAAATGTGTACCATAGTATCTCCAGTTTAAAAAGGTAAAGTAACAGAAACAAATTTTTTCGATACATTAAACATATTGTAGTTTATTTTTTTATTTTTTATTTTTATCGAATGGGGACCTTCTCAAAGCCAGGAATCTCATACAGTAATGATATTTTAATATATAACCAACAGAATAAGATAGCTGTGACGGAATCGTTCACCATAACGATTTTTATTATCCTGCTTGCCTTACTAGTGACGTCAAATTCGATAGAGTATGCGCTGTAAAAGTGCCTCTTGGCAAATACTCACTCACCAGTATCCGTCAAACAGTCCTCGTCTAGACGTTGAAACTGTTGGCTCTGTGCACTTAAACTCATTCATAGATTGAAGTTAATAAATTCGTAATTAAGATCAATTATTATGAGATACTTGCAAATTTCACGATCGTTCAGGTAAAGAAGGTTCGAAGGCTCCAAACGAGAGAAAAAAGAAAAATAAAATGGAATTAAATTTGTTGTTACAGTTCAGCTTGTTTGTTGTAATTCACATGAGCGGATGCGCTGCTGAAGGTAAATCTTTTATATATATATATAACTTTAGCTCTTGTAAATTTTAAAAGTGTATCGAGATTTTAACATTTAATTAAGTTTTCAACACGTGGTTTTTAGAGTTTTTTACCCTCTATTTTCGTCTATTATTTATTAAAAAAAAAGATCTTTTAAACGTAACTGGAACGTTCGACTTCGTTGATAGAGGATGTTTATATTTAATGAAATTGTTTTCCTTTGTAAATAATTGCAAAAAAATTAATTAATTACGTGGAAATTAGTGTAATTTACTTGAAACTTAAATGGTTTCTAACCAAATGAATATCGTAGAAAGATAACGAATTCTTTGATGCTAGTAACATATCCAGTAGGGCCCTTTGTTATTTATATGATAATCATCTTTTCGAAGAAGCTGAGTTAGATGTAATGCGAAAGATACGTGACAAAATAACCAAGGATAATATATGAAAATTATATTTTGGATGTCTTTTTTTACATTAACTTTCGGCTTTATATTCCTGTCCGAAGAGAATGTCAAAAGCGCAAAATTTAAATTAGTATCATAGAATGAATTTAATTAAATTTTGAAAAGGATTCTTGGTTCAGGAATCGAACTAATCCCATTTGGAAACATGCAATGATTCATTTACAATTGATTAATTGACTCTAAATGATTTGCATTAAGTGAAAGCGAATCCCGCAAAGTGTGTTGTAAGTTTTAAACTCCATTATAACATTAAGATTAAATATATTTTAATTTAAAACAATAAAAAATATATATATATAAATTGTTTACTCTTGTTTCAACCGACTTGGAGCCAACAAAGTATAGCGTTTAAAGCCACCAACATCAACCATACCCGAACAAAAATTAATGTGATAAATATTTGGAAAACATCCCAGAACACAAAATATATATAGATTTTTTTAAATTTTATTTCAATTTTTAAGGTTTATTTTAAGTAATTTTGCTGCCATAGTAGTTTATAAGAATATTTTAAAAATTTATATTATTAAAAAGAAAAGAGGATGAAGGTCAATGACATTTTATATAGAGGAATATGAATATGTGCTGCTCTTTAATATATTAAATCCCCTGATGTGTTGAGATAAAAATAACGATTTAGATGATAGATGAAATAGAAACGGATCACAATAATAGGAGACTAATTGTGTAACTTTATATGGGGCAAAATGTTATTGTTATTAGCAAATGTTACGTTCCCAAGGTTAGTTTCTTGTTTGCTTGATCCTGACCTCAGAAAGTAGAAAGGACGTGAGAAAAATCGCATTTATTATGTACATATAGTTACAATATAAAAATGACGTACATTATTCATGATAAAAAGCAGCAATCTTAAAGAAAAACTGAGCACTTATAGGGTATTTGATGTAAGAATTTAAGAAAATTACTATTGAATCTTCGGATAAAACAGATGTTGAAAGACAAATAACGTGATAGAAAAGAAAATAAGGTAGACAAATATCACGAAAATAAGAGAAAAAAAATACATCAAATTAAGTAGAAATGTGTTTGAGTTAGTAAATTTAAATATCTAAGATAGTTTATAAAGAAAGATCGAAGAAGAGGAAAAAAATTAAATAAAATACACGAATCGAAACAGGAATTCTTGTAATCAATTTAAAAAAAAGTAGAGAAAAAATGGCGAACAAATAAAATACAGAAAAACTTTCGCTATTGTTAGAAAGACGATAATGAAATCTGTACGTTACATCGAAGACAATTAATATAAATTTTCGGAATTCTTAAATGCAAAAGATGGAAACGATAAACTGACAAACAGATCAAAATGAAATGAGTAATGGAGAATAAAAGAAGAAATTGATAAAAAGAAAGTGAAAAGAAGTGACTTAGTTTAGTTAATAAGACTAGAGAAAAGAAAGAAGGTGTAATGAGATATGTATTAGAAATATTGGAAGAAGAAAACCTTGCAAAATATCATTGTGGATAACCAGAAAGATAGGAATGCTAACAAAACTACAAAGGAATATTGATAACAGAAAATACGAAAAATTTCATTGAACATGCCTCAGAGCGAAAACCAAAGATGAATAAGAATAAAGATAATTTGATTTTTTTTCCTTCTTCTTCTTCTTCTTCGTCTTTATAAAATCGAATGTAAATTATCGTCTCTCTATTTTTATAAAATTAATTATAAGAATTTGAAATAAACGCTACATTCGATTTTATTCCATTTTATAAAAGGAAAATAATAATTTTATGAAACATTAGTATCTTTAACCGAACAGAGAGTTATAAATATATATTTTTAAATACATTTTCCAAGCTTTTACTTCGGAAAAATGTGAATTGAATGAATGAATTCTAGCTTAAATCATAGGAAAAAAATACAAAAAAATTCTATACATATAAAAATTTTTTCATGACTTCAAATCAATGGTAATTTTTATCTTGTTTATTGATTCATTCATATCAGAAACAAATTAAATTAATTTTTTTTTTTAATTCGTTTATTTACTTTTTCTTTCCTCTTTTCGCTACGTTATATAAACATTAAAATTCATAAAACAGACCGAATTCGCTACAAATTCTAATTTATTATATTAAATATCAAAACGTGATTTATCGCATCTAATTAAATTACTTCACATTGATAACTCCTAAAGCAATAAGCGAATTTATTATTTTCTAAACCCGATTTTCTTTCTTAATTTGGAGTGGAATTTTTAATGAAGGGTCTTCTTAATACGCGATTTATATGTAAAATTAAAATACCTAGCTATGAAAGTATAATGCATTTTCATGGAAATGAAAAATGACGACTGTTTTTATCCACATTTATAAATTTTAATTTAATTTTTTATGCACAATATTAAAGTTATATCGAAGTTTTAAAGGAGAATTTACTTTTTTAATGCATAGATTTAGTTTTGTTTCGAGTCTGTTTTGCGCATTTATGGTATAAGAATTCGGCTTTTAATGCTAAAATTATAATATATGAGGCTTTATTTAGCAAATATTCGTTTATAGAATTCAAAATTCATTAAAACTTCCATAGATTTAAATTATAGAAATCGAGTTTACGGGGTTGAAAATGTTACATTTAAGATTGGAGTTAGTTTCAAAGTGTTATATATAAATTGGTCTGAGTTCCGGTTTCCTAAACCGTTAAAATTACTAATTAGGTTATAAAATTCGATTTAGTGTAGAAGTTGAGTTTAGTATTAGATTTATAGTAATTGTACATACTTAAATTGCATTATATTGTGACTATTATTATAATTTTTAATATACTATATTTGTATATTTGAAAGTATAGCAAGATATATGGTATAATTATAGATTTCATATGTAAATAATGCTACTTCAAATAATTATTATTATACTTAATTTAATTTAGTAAAATTAAATTAACTTTCAATGTCGTAAGTGTTCTTGATTGTAACACGTTTTATATGTTAATTTAAATTTATTTCCACTTTAACCTCGATGATAGTCTTTTGATTTACTGGCACATTGATTCCTTACAGAATACATGGAAAATTTCAAATAATTTACGATGATTTTTATAATTTATAATGATTAACACGATCGTTATAATATGATGGTTACAAGTGTATAATTTAGATTCCATAATTCGAAGCACTTTTTATATAGCATATTAAACGCAAATTTCTTTAAAAATACGCCCAAAATTTTCTATTTTAAAACATAAATATTAATTTTAATAACTTTTATGATTTGTAACTTTCGTTTCGTTCAGAATTTACACTGTTTTTTGTTTAAATTCCAAGTAATGACAGTTATATTAGTATAGATGCAACACTTTGCTGCCTCTCAGAATCAATTTCAGTTATTAGAATATTTTTTAAAATTTTACTTTCTACTTCCATGTCTTTTTGGTTAAGAAATAGAGAATATATTTTTAGTTTTATACATGAATACAGATATATATATATTGTAAATAAAGTATTTAAGATGAAAGATAATGGCATTATCAATGTCGATTGAACATTAGATTTTATTATCTGGTCATTCAATAATATTTATCCAGTATTCCTAGTTATTTTTCTCTCCCCCTGCCATTCAGGAACTTCAGAAGATTGTCAATAACACAAGGAGGACGTTTTAACGATCTCATAATGACTTTAACTATTTAACCATTTACTTTTGTTGTTATTTAACATTTGTACTGAGCGAAAATGCTCAACATTCTAATTTATAAATTAGTAAACACCTGAAAATATGTATTTAGTATGAAATGATGACTATAGCATTAATTATGAACTAAAATATAATGAAAAGGCATAAAATAGAATTGATACTATCTTAAAACCTTAAATTTAGAGCTAAATATTAACTCTGAATTTAATTCTGTAGTTCAAAAACATTAATTAAATTAATCTTATAAATTTATATTCATAGTCCACGTGTTTATAGGTTTATAAAAAAAGAATCAATCATTAAAATAATGTCTCCCAGATGATTAATCAGTCTGGATTCTATCGAGTTTCTGGAATTTTTATCATACAAATGCCAAATTGATTCCCAGCTGGAACAGAAGAGATGAGAAAAACGTCAGTAACATAGCTGACAAGGACATGCTGATGGCATTTCTCTTACATGTCACGTCAACAGGAACCAGATAAAATATTCCATGTCCATACACCTCTGCAACATACCGTGTGTACAATACGAAAACGAAAGCAAAAACTTCCAGCCTATTACTACATCTTTCTAAGCTGCCACAGAAACGTCAATACTCCTGTTTCTTCCAGATGATAAGCAGCTGCATTTTTTTTTTCGTTCAGAATTAAATTATAAACTGCGGATAATACTAGTGTTACTCTCTTTACAAAGACATTTTTCCTATCTTATACTGTTCTTTATCATTTTCTTGTTTTACTTGTAATTAAATTTACGACGTAGACAGCTTTTTCTGGATGAGATCCGATGCTTTTACTTTTAATATGATGTAAAGTGATTATGGAATAACCATTTACATCGCATTAAGGTTTCGATAATATCTCTTTATAAT